ATACCTTTTGGTTGACATGTATGCATTAGTTATATGGCGCCTATACCATTACCGGCAATGCAATATTTACAAATTCAATGTTACTTTATTTGTAAATATTTTGGTGATATTAATAATATGCAGTATGGTGGCATGTTTAACTTATATATTGAATATCCTATAAATTATTGTGTCAAAAATTACTGGATAAAATTAGGATGTGTTTATATGGAGGTGAGCCATCTTCACATTGAAACGTGTTTTGAGATGATCTTAATTCAGGTTCTCAGCCAGCAAATCTTTTTCCGCAAATATTTCTCCTGCTGAGGGGGAGACCACTGGGTGAGTAACATGCAAAAGACATGGAAACGTATACTTGTGAAAACCAATTGTATGCAAGCGGCAAGCCCACTCATTCGAATCTGTCAGGATGAGAAATTCGTCAACAAAATCACTAACTGTGAATCAGGCTTTATAAGGCAGGTTGTCAAGCAAAAAGCCCTATTATGGAGCAATATATAACATTGAGCCTTTAAGCACTTGAAAGCAAGTTGCAACCACACTTTTACAGTTATGATCACTTAAATAATCATAGAAATGGGGGAAATATCATCTGAGACTACAGATTACTGATATAAATATTCTTATTATCAGTGCATACAAGGGTGCCAATTAGCCCCTCCCCCCAAATAATTCCTGAAAGTCTTTAAATGGTGATTGAATAACTATGTGTGTAACAAAGCTGTAAATTTTTTTTTTTCTATTTTTACATCTGATTGAAAGCTATAAATTGGTACCGTAGCTATATATATATATATATATATATATATATATATATATATATATATATATATATATATATATATATATATATATATATATATATATATATACATATGCATGTATGTATTTCTAGTAGTTTTCATAAGGATTGTCATTATTTCACTCCCCCCCCCTCCCCCCAACGAAAACACGGTTTCAGCCATATTTTGCCGTCTTGTTTGCTTTTTATGGCCGAGTCTCGCAAATATCATCCAGTTGTTGTACTTTTACATAATGATAAATGGCTAAAGAAGATTTCAACCAAGTTTCATCAAGTTTTGAAACAGTGCAATGTATTTTATCTTCGATATTGTCTCCTTCGATATTTCGTCAAATTGCCGCCATTTTAATGGCTGAACCTTCTAAATTACACTATAACAGTATAAGCACTTCAGAAAGACTGTCGCTTTTCGTTTACGGAAGTTGGAGCTATGTCGGCACTGCCGATATAGTTGGAGCTATGTCGGCACTGCCGATATATATATATATATATATATATATATATATATATATATATATATATATATATATATATATATATATATATATATATTTTATGCAAATTCTATTTTTTATGCAAGAGTTATATTTTGAGGAATTTATATCATTCGCTGCTTTGTTGTTTTATATATGAGTATCTGAAACTCCAGCCAGTGCTTTTCACGATTTCAATAAGGAGTAGATAGGGGAAAAAAACAAACTTTTGCAAAATAAAATGTTATGTTAACACTTTTAATAAAAAGAAATCAATAAAAGTGAGCGCTTACCGTTATTCTACAATAATTTATTGAATTCGTGAAGCTTCCAGAGTCTACCATTGAACTATAAATAAACTGGAAGGCTAACTGCTATGATGAAGGCTTATGATTTGATGAAGCCAAAATAGTTTTTCTGAGTTATGAGCAGAAATACTTGACCCCAAACGTCGGGCTATATATCAAATTGAAGCTATTGAAAATTGCTATTCGGTGTGGAAATTTCAAGACTTCAGCGAAAAGAAAAATATTTAAAAAATACAAAAACAACTGCAAAACGGCAAACTATCGGTAATTATGTTTGTAGTTTTTCAATATTTCCCTTTTAGCTAAAGTCTTGAAATTTCTACACCAAATAGCATTTTTCAATAGCTTCAATTTGATATATAGCCCAACGTTCATTGTTGAGTATTTCTGCCCATAACTCAGAAAAACTAAAATGCACTGGCTTCAATTCCCCCCCCCCCTGAGTTAGCCTTCCAGTTTATTTATAGTTCAATGCATTTATCGGACAGAGAAGCGGCCAGCCATTAAAATGGCGGCAATTTGACGAAATATCGAAGGACACAATATCGAAGGTAAAATACACTGCACTGTTTCAAAAGTGGATGAAACCTTCTTTGAAATCTTCTTCAGCCATTTATGATTATGTAAAAGTACAATAATTGGATGATATATTGATATTTGCGAGATTCGGCGATAAAAAGCAAACAAGACGGCAAAATATGGCTGAAATCGTGTTTTCGTGGGGGGTAAGTGAAATAAAATGTATTATATTTAAAGAAAACAATGACAATCCGTATGAAATCAACAATATTTATATTAAATTAAGCATAGTTTTTCACCCCCATGATAATTTTTTTTAGGAAATAAGAATATTTAATTTCTGCCAGGCATATTAGTTATTTTGTGCATAATCAGCAATTACCTGGGGTGGTGCATAGTCATTTTCTGGTAAAATATTATACTTAGACAAATTTTTCATTCCAATGACCACCCCTAAAAGCAACCCTTTTAAACACTATAAGCACTTCAGAAAGGCTATCGGTTTTCCTTTTCGGAAGTTAGAGCTATGTCGACACTGCTGTTTCAGGGCGGGGTCATTTTCAGGACTTTCCTCCCGGATTCAGGTTTTCGCACATATGCCATGTTGACCGCCATGGTCATTTTACCCTAAAACAGTTGAGATTACCTGTCCTAAATGAATCGCATACAAACTCATATATATATATATATATATATATATATATATATATTCACTGATCAAAGTCAGTCTTAGACATCATTTTTTTGTAATCTTGAGGAGTCTGTTGCTCTGTGCCAGTGTGCTTTTAATCCAATACACTTGGCTCATTTTTCATATAGGAAATCCTGAAATTTAATCCATTTTCCTGATCATGTCCCTAACCCCATCAATAGACCTTTCATTAGACCTTTTTAAAAAGTCGGCCTTGTATAACGTAGTTTGCGGATAAATACAATCACTTGGCCAATCAGGCAAGCCAAATGGCTGTGCGGGGTTTTCCTTTATCCACACACTATGTCACAATGCAGACTTTTTAAAAAGGTCTATTGAGTATTGCCCTTGGCATTCATCCTATTGCCTGCAGTATTGGGGACCTAAAAGTGACCCAAATAGTTGCCGCTCGATATAAAGTAGGTTATACAATATCAGGTAAATAGTTTCTTTCTTAATTCTTACAGTTTGAGCTTGGAAATACAACAAAAAGATGCAAGACAAAATGCCCTGGTTGTCCATTCGCATATGCAAATTTTTGGAAGCCTAAAAATTGCCCCTCGTGTAATTTTGAAATCGGTGTATGTCAATTATGTACCTATACCAAAGAAACCAAAACTGATAAGGCCGAACTGTGTTCGTGTGGGCAAAAATCTGTTTTCAGTTAAAACAAGTACCAGAGGGGATAGGTGCTTTGTGGTATATGATGAAGAAACAAGGTTTTGCGAGCAAGAAAAATGCAAAACCAGACGAGCTGTTACTGTGGCTAGTATTGAAACGTCAGTTGACCAGTTTCCTTGCCAGCACATTGAGATGGTCCAAAAAAGCAAGGAGCTTGGTGAGAGGAAAGAGATGACCAGAAAATGGTGTCTGAATACCCATGCGATGATGCTACCGGAGAAAAGTTGCTGTTACATTGTTTATGGCCCTCCAAGCTCCACATCCACGGAGAGTGCAAGAAACAGCAATATGGGCAATAGAGTGCGTCCAATTCAACCTTCCCCAAGTCAACAAGACACATCCTCAAGCCACGATCAATTTCGGCAACTATTCGCCCGGTACAATAGGGCTAACAATAGCAGCCTCGTTCATCAACCTCCGGCGAAGCAGAGTCGAGGTAATTCTTGGGGACAAACGCGTTCTTTTAAGCCACACAAGATAAGTGGACACACGATTTTTTTGTTTGGCAAACGCCACAAGTGGCTCGCTGAAATAACTCGTAAATAATGCACTTTACACGAGTAAGATGTAAAAGTGTATGAAGTAAATCTTGATGTGAAATTGTGAATACGCTTTAAACGATATTTTACAAAGACTACAATTAATACAAACTCTCCGCTTCTAAAAGCTCCAGCAAAAACACTCCTTTAGCTCGAGTAAAGGCTTAGCAAGCGTCTTCGCCGTCTTGTTTACTGTAAATTTATATCTATAACCACATTACATGTACTATTAAAATTATTTGCGGGTAATAAATTATCATTAATACGAGTTGAAAATTGTGTTCTGAGGGTCACGCATAATGTTACGTCATCACAATGGAATGCTTAAGGACAGAATGCGCAAGCAGAAATGCAATTGCGAACATCAAAATTCAATTCTTTAACATCAAAATTCAATTAATTGATATCACAAAGCACGGAACGAACAACAAAATCTAAAACTTGCAAAATTCAAACGTTAATTTTGGCGTTAATCACGCCCCATAAAGGTTTGTTTAAAATTATCTCATTACTCGAACTTCCGTAATCACTGAAAGTGTCAATACTTAATAAAAGTAGGCTATTAATCAAGCAATTTAAGCCGTCTGGTGATTTTCTACAAGACCTGTATTAAGGTAATTCCGCAGTTTTGCATTGCGCACTTTTACTGCGCACATCTTATAACTTATAATTTCATCCATTATACGTACCGTTTATAAAAAAAATCATTTTATGACAATTTTATGTTACTTTTAAAGGACATTAGCAACGAAAATTTTTATTGCCTATTATGAAAGGGTTGGGGCATTTAGCAATGGGTATGACATTAATTTTTTACCAAACTCTTTTGTTTACGAGTTGCAGCTAAACTTACCGAAAATGTATACTTCGTCCGCCATCTTGGATGAAATTCGCAAAAAATTATCTTCGGGTCACATGACCCGTTGTGACGGTGATTTGACTGCTTTGCTGATTTTAAAAGGAAATTGTAGCTTTTTTAGTATTGTGATGGAAAATATCCACAAGAACCAAGTCGGAGAAGTGTTGCCTTACCAATTTGAGCCAGGAAAGGGCGCAGAAGCAAGTAACTATAGCGATGAAAGCGATTCCGAAAGGGGTAGTGTTTTGTCTTCGTCTGAGGACGAAGTCGATATCGAATTTGAAAGAGCAAACGCTTGGCGCCTTGAAACTTTAAGCTGGTGTAAATGTGGTCATTGTACATTATCAACGAAGGCTATAGAGTGTTTTTGTTGCCACGAAAAAGCGGTCGAGTACGACGAGTACGGAGTGCTTCTTAACGAAACAGAAGCTCAAGGCGAAAAATGTTTAACTCTACATCCGGACTTTCGAGATAACATGCTGTCGGAAGGCGTGCTAAAGATAGATGTTTGTCGCTATCTGGAAGAAAATTGGCCTCTTGACGATGGGGATTTGGAGAAAATTCACAAGCTCTATCGCCTAGTGGCCTATCAACGATGTTCACGCTGGATTTTTCAGATATTGGGGAAAAGAAGCGCAGACCATTTCCTGCGTGTGTTTATTCAAGCATACGAGAACGCTTTGCGTCGCCTGATGGCTGATGGCCTATACATGCATTTCAAATATATGCCAAAACATCAAAACGGTAATCTTTTAATAAATGGCTATTTAAGTAATGCAACTACAGTATAAATACAATAGATATTCAACCTATAAAGCGAGCCTAAAAGGCGAATGTTTATAGTACATAAATATTTTAACTCAACTGCTACCAGCTTATATACACACATACACACATATTTATTTTTAGTTACAGATATATTTACATGAATTTTCACTAGCCGCAAGTAGCCAAGCTAATCGGGGCGGGTAGTGATATAATGTAATTAGGAGAGGGGGATAATAGAAATGACTGAATTACAAGATAAAAACTTAATAAGTTAAATAATTGCAGGTTTACAAAGTTACAAGCAGAACTGCATGCTGAAGCCAATTTATTTACTTATTTAAAATTAATTGGTAATATTGAAATCTCGCTAAAGTTGTAAATATAGGAATGAATTTGAGCACATAATTATATAACCACAAAAATTGGGGTTATATAATCAATTGTAGGATGGTTTGGTTTCAATAGGCAATCTATTTATTATCAAGGGCAGATCAATATGGTCATTTTCCTTCTGTAGAATTGTCATAAGTGTTTTGTTTAATTTGGTTTTGAAGGTGTGTTTCCTTTGCGCACGGAAACTTGGAGAAATACTATTCCAGATAAAAGAACCAAATCGAGAAAATGAGCGTTTTTGGATTTCTAATCGTGAAGAATTGATGTAAAAATTCTTGTTCGCAGCTGCTCTCGTATTATATCTATGAATCTCGCATGTTTTGGTAAATAATTCTTGAGGAGCAATTGGTGCAACTTCATTAGAAATATCATGTAACAAGTTAGCGGATTCTCTAATGTATAGCATGTTGATAGGGAGGGTGTTTGAAGAGATAAATAGAGGGATAGAGTGTTCACGATTGTGTTTAAAATAGATAAGTCTCAGCACACGTTTCTGGAGTTTGAGAAGTTTGTCCGTATATTTTTTGGCTGCATATCCCCATGCAACAACTCCATATGATAGATATGGCTGAATTAATGACTTATATATATGTTCATTAAGGTATGGCATGGGACATAATGTCGGAGTTTTGCAATGATTCCAACAGTTTTGCTAATCTTTAGTGCAATGTAATTAATGTGTTGTTTCCAAGACAAATTACAATCAATGAGAATGCCAAGATATTTTATATAATCCTTACTTTCGAGAGGAATGTATTTTTTCGAATTATTGTCAAAAAGTTTAATAGTAGGCTGATAGGTCATTGGTTTTTGCGATGGTCGAAAGATTACAAAATTTGATTTTGTTATATTTAATGTTAGTTTATTAGCATTTAGCCACTTACAAACTTCCCTCAACTCGAAATTTACCACTGATTCTAAAGTTTTTAAACTTTTGTTAGCA